CGTCATCACGCACGCTCAGAGCCGCCCACCAATCGCACGCACGGGCTCTTCACGTCGCACGTAGAAAGCTCTGGCGCTGACGACGCCGGCGACATCTTAAGTGAGGGCACTTGAGCGCCATCTCCTGGCCGGCGCTCCCAATAAGGAGCCAAGGGAGCATGTGTCTGCACATACCGTATGTATTTATAGAGTTGGAGTCCTGGTGGCGCAGTGGTTAAATGCTAGTATTGCAACCACAAGGGTTGTGAGTTCGGTTCCAGGGATGATCCAGTTTTGCATCTTTCTATAGTCGCGAAAATGAGTACTCAGCTTGTTGGGAGTACCTAATACATTGTATAATATAATATAATAATAATACATTGTAAACTGCTTAGAAACTATTGAACCCAGTATGAAGCGCTATAGCAGGGGTAGGCAACCTTTCCCCTTTAAGGGCCGAGGGACTTCAGCTCCCAGAAGCCTCAGCCATGTTGGCCAATAGTCCCATGTTGGCCAATAGCTCCTGGGATTCTGGGAGCTGAAGTCCCTCGGCCCTTAAAGGGGAAAGGTTGCCTACCCCTGCGCTATAGAAATGTAAGTGCTGTTGCTGTATGTTTTGTGTGCCTTCAAATCGCTTTCAAGATCAGGGTCCAAAACACACTGCATAAAAATAATCCAGTTTGAGACCGCTTTGACTGCCCTGGCTCAATGCTAGGGAATTCAAGGAACTGTAGTTTTTATTTATTTATTAAATTTTATTAATATACATAACATATACCAAAAAAAAGACCAACAAAAAACCCAAAACATAAACATTACATTTCACAAATACAAGTACTTTTACTACATATAATCACACACCCACCTCTACATACCTACATATATCCATCCAATCTCACACTTCTATCATACATACATTTTTAGTATAATTCCATGCGCTACATAGTAATTTTATCTTCTTCCAAATAAATGCATAATTGCCTAATATCATAACACTTTTTCTTTACCCCTCCTACTAGGCAGATCTCCTTTCTCCCTACATTTATGCATTACCATGGGTAGGCAGCCTTTCCCCTTTAAAGTCCGAGGGACTTCAGCTCCCAGAATCCCAGGAGCTATTGGCCAACATGGGACTATTGGCCAACATGGCGGAGGCTTCTGGGAGCTGAAGTCCCTCGGCCCTTAAAGGGGAAAGATTGCCTACCTTTAAACATTAAACATTCCTAGTATCTTTATCCAATTACAATCATTATTCAATCATATTGTGTTTCCCATATCTATCTTTTTATTTTGTTTTCATTCATACCCTTTTCTATCACAATATTCCTTAAAAGCTGTCCAACCTCCAACCACTTCCTCTTGCTCTTTATCATTCAATAAACCAGTCAGAATATCTGATTCCACCGCTTCCCAAGTCTTCTTTTTCCATTCACCTATAATGGGGGTGGTTGTTTGCTTCCACTTTCCAGCATAAAGTATTCTGGCAGTCGTTATCATATAAAGTAAAATCCCTCTATTATCTCTTTCAAATGTTTTCTCTAGTATACCTGTCATATTTAACAAGAAGAAAGTTGGTTCCAAAGGCATCTCCACTTTATATATTTTTGATATTACATCCTTCATCTTTTTCCAATATTTTTGCGCTTCTACACATGTCCACCACATGTGATAAAACGTCGCTCTTGGTTTTTTACATTTCCAGCACCAGTCTTTTCCAGATTTATATAATTTATTTAATTTTTCCAGAGACAGATACCATCTAAAAGTCATCTTAATGAAGTTCTCTTTATAATCCTGGCATCTCGTGAATTTATTGGTATCATACCAAGCTTTTTCCCATTTATTTAATTCTATAGGTTTCCCAATATCTTGTGCCCATTTTATCATGGAGTGTTTTATTTTTTCATTTTCCAAATTCCTTCCTTGTAATACCCTATAATATTTTCCGATATGTCCTTTATTTTGGTCAAAAAATATTTTGTCTATTTCATTTTGTCTATTTGAAATACCTACAGTATTTTTATCTACTTTAAACCTTTCGTTTATCTGCATATATAGAAACTAGTTATCTTGCAATTCTTTACCTAGTCCATCTCTTGTTTTCAAAGAATCTCCCATTTCTCCTTTCCAATTAATCAAATCCTTGTATGTCAATCAAGGTATTTTTTTCCATTTTAGATCTTTTAAAGAAAGCTTCCTGCGGGGAGGTCCAGCTTGGGATTTGGGTATAAAATTGTTCTTTTATCTTCAACCAAGTTTTTAATAAAGCATTTCTCACAAAGTGGTGTGAAAAATCCTTGTTACTTTTAAGTTTATTATATATCATGTAGGCATGAAAGCCAAATCTCAATTTAGAATTCTCTAATTCTAATAGTCTTTCGTTTTTTAGACTAACCCATTCCTCTATCCAATTGAGGCAAGAAGCCCTATAATATAGTTTCAGATTTAGAAGTCCACAACCACCTTTTAATTTTTTTTCAGTCAACAATTTCCACCCTATTCTAGCTTTCTTCCCTTCCCATACGAACTTTAACATTTCTTTTTGCCAATTATCTAAATATTTTTCCTCACTAATTATAGTTAGATTTTGAAATAAAAACATTAACTTTGGTAACAATACCATTTTAGTTGCCTCAATTCTACCTAAAAATTATAGCCTTTTTCCTGACCATCTTATCAGATCTTTTTTAATCTCTTCCCAACATTTCAAATAATTGTTTTTAAATAGATCTATATTTCTTTTGGTCACAGATATCCCCAAATATTTTACTTTTTTCTCAATCTTAAATTTTGAAATCTCTTTCAATTCTTGTTCTTCTCTTACATTCATATTCTTAGTTAGTATTACAGTTTTTTCTTTATTAATATTAAATCCTGCAACCTCCCCAAATTCTTCTATAACTCTAATTAATTTGCTTATATTTTCTTTTGGGTTTTCTAAAAAGAAAATTACGTCATCCGCAAATGCTTGTAATATATATATTTGATGTTTTACTTTTACTCCTTCAATTTCTGGATCGCCCCTTATTTTATTATTTAATACTTCTAGCACTATTAAAAATAATAAAGGCGAAAGGGGGCATCCTTGCCTGGTACCTCTTTCAATATTAATTTTTTCTGTTTTCTCCTGGTTTATTACAATCCGAGCTCTTTGTTCCTTATATATTTCCTGTATCCATTTATTAAATGTCTCTCCCATTCCCATGAGCTTAATTAGTTCTAACATAAAACACCAATTAACCCTGTCAAATGCTTTTTCTGCATCTAACAACACTAATGCTAATTTTTTAATCATTATTAATCTCAAAATGTTCTATTATGTTCAACACTATCCTCATATTATTCTTAATTTGTCTGTTCAGCACGAATCCATTCTGATCCTCATGAATTATTGAATCCAATAATCCTTTCATCCTTTTAGCTATGACAGACGTAAAGTTTTATAATCAATATTAGTCAGGGATATTGGTCTATAGTTCTTCATTTCTAGACATGATCTTTCCTCTTTGGGGATTAATGATATCCAGGCTTCCTTCCAAGACTCTGGTATACCTTCATCTTTAATCTTATTCATCATTTCTTTTAATGGATCCACCAGAATGTCAACAAATTTTTGATAGTAAATCGCCATTAATCCATCCAGGCCGGGAGCTTTTCTTGTTTTCATTTTCTCAATCACCTCTATAATTTCTTTAGTTGTTATTGCTTAGTTTAACCTTTCTACCTGTTCTTCCTTTATCTTGTTTATCTTCTGATCTCTCAAATATCTTTTTACTTTCTCATTTTCATCTTCCCTTGTCTCTGACTTCCTGTACATTTTGTCGTAATAATCTTTAAACAATTTTTTAATCTTTTCTTGATCTGTAATTATTTCTCCATTATTATTTATCTCTGTTATAATTTTCTTTTCTTTTTCTCTCCTAAGTCTATTTGCCAGCAGTCTACCTGCTTTATTTCCTAATTCAATTTTTTTTGTCTTACATATCTCATTTTAGTCTCTATTTCTTTA